ATGAATTTGCAATTCACATATCTGAAATTCAAATTAGCCAATCAGAATTTCACATCCAAACATCCCACTCCAAATTTTAATTATAGATTTTCAATTTCACATAGTTTCAATTTCTCATACAGAAATATAGAAATAAAAGTTAAATTTATCATATTTATATGAAGTCATATGCCTAAGTGGTGCAAGTGAGTGAAATATATGAGAATAAGATAGAGCATAAAGTCCAATAATTATATGATTCTCTGTTCTGTAAGTTAGGAGTCTAAAAATACAGTTACTTTAGTACTACAGGCACATAGCCTAAATCAATACAATTACTTTAGTATCACAGACACACAGCCAAACACTAACAGTGCTAATGCCAAACACTGTTAGCACACAGCCTAAGAGAAATAAATAATACAAGAATATACCACTTGAGGTGTTCCTACAAACAACATAGTAATATTAAAGGTGTTCCTAACTAATGGTTAAAGGTTGGCCAGCCTACTAACTATCAGAAAGGATCACGAAACAATTCACAATGGCTTTTCTTCTTTAACTATGCAAAATCTGTAATAAGGGAAAATATGTTTATTTAATTATTAATTACAGTAGGGTTATTATTTAATTGTTATAGATTAAAGACATCATTCCTTTAACTTGGTCTAAAATTAAGTGTATTTATCTAAGTAAATATTTATCTGTCAAGAAATAATACAATAATATATAAATGGAAATATAGATACAAAGACCTTCAGTACAACATTACATGATATGCAGTGTTGTGTAATTGGAACATTGGAATGTTCCAATGTAGATCTTCAATTGATATTGACCAATAAAATTCGTGTGTGTGTCACTGTATGACTGAAACAAAACTCAGAACAACTTTATTATTAATAAAAGTCCAAACTAAATTCCACTTGAAAAAAACTATTTTTTGCTCAGAAGAGAACTATATTAATAGTATATACAACTTAAAAAACTAAAATATTAAATGAGATAAATGATTCTATCTTTGTGTGACATATCACACAATTATCTAATTTATAAGCACATATTTCACATGCCACCAAATGATGGCATGGTGAGAAACAATGAGTAATTATCTTTTCTAAGCAAATTTTACATCATAATGACTGTTTTCCCAGTTCTTCGTCTTCA